GGGGGTGGGACATGGCTTGGAGGCGCTCCACTTTGCATGCTCCAAGGCCATGCCAGGGAGATGCCTGCAGAGGTGAAGCATCTCAGATGACAGAGGGAGAAAGCCCACAGCCAGGTGTCTGCAGGGCAGTGGAGGGGCTGGGGGAGGCTTCCTGGGCTGTGCCCTTCTGCTCCTTCAGTAGGCCTTGCTGTATCTGCTGGTCCGGGTTCCTGGGAGTGGCAGGGAGTGCTGAGGGCTGGCCGGCCAGAGAGAGCAGGTGAAGGGCGGCTGCAGCCCCAGCCCGAGTGTCCACAGCCAGAGGGCCTAGGCCCGGGCCTGGTGGGGGCTTTCTGGATGGTGAGCGGGGGAGCAGGACGCTTCCACGCCTCTGTGAGCAACTGGCTGATTGGGCAGAGGAGCTGTCCTGGGGACCCTGTGCCGCTGTCCCAGTGGGAACAGGGTCGCGGGGAGGGCATGGCTGGGCCCTCCGGGCTGGGGGAGGGCGGAGAAGGCGCCCCTTCCTGCCTGCGCCGCGCTGGTCCCCGCGAGGGCGCACAGATTGCGCTCCCACCCTCTCTCCCTCGGGATTTTTTCCCTTTTTAGGTTATCTTGGCTGGAGAAAAGCGCCACCCACCCCCCCTTCTTGTTTTCCCTAACTCCCCAAATGAAATTTCAACATATGTCCCGCGACATAATCCCCTCTGGCTGCGGCCGCCTTCCCGCAGACGCGGTCCCTGCCCGCTCCTCCCGCCGTGTTTACCCAGGAGACGGGGCCGCTTCTGGAAGCCCTTTCACTCCCTTGGGCAAACAGCGAGTACCTTTGAAGGTGGATTTGGGCCCGGATCTGTTTACTCAAGACATTAGTCTCCTGCATAAGAAAAACCTGCACTCGCGAACAAACAGCAAATCCTTTTTGAATTAAAAAAATTTTCAATTAAAAAGCATTTGGTCCGCACAGCTCCGTCCAGCTGCGCAGCGCCGGGCCTGCGCCCTCTGGTGGGCACAGGCCGCCACTGCAGTAGCTGGGCAGCCCGGGCCTGGGGCCTCTCTCTGGAAAGAGATGTCACTGTCAGGGGTTCTGCCAGGGGTCCCGGAGGCTCTGCCAGTGGTCCTGGGGACCCTGCCACTGATGGCAGCAGGCGTCTCCGGCCACGGTGCGAGAGTCTCAGCTTCTAAAAGCCTTTTCTCATAGTGAGGCCAGTGTCCTGCGATAGGAGGTGCCAACTGTAGGTTCCAGCAGCACCTAGGAGGCAAAGTCACTTCAGCTCCAGCTTCGAGGCAAAGAGGGGGCAGTAGAACCTAGTGGTCTACTCACAACTAGGACGATTCGTGTGCAAGTGCCTTGAGAGTGAAAAGAGCCCTGGTTATGTATCAGAACCAAAGGCTTTAACCACAGTGATGCATGTGCCCCACCCGGGGTTGGCAGGAGTGGTCCTGGTTTAACCGGCACCGGGACACCAGCATTTTTTGAAAACACTCAGGTGATTTCAGTATTAACTGCACTAATCACCAGAGGGGAAGGCAAGTGCACTGCCCCTCCAGGCTCCTCCCTCCTTCCCACACCAGGTCTCATACTGAGCGCTCTAGAAGGCTCCAGACGAGAAAGGGCAGTAAGGGGCTGATCCCAGCACCCGAGCTTTGCAGAGGAGGAAAGTGAAGCCCAAGAAAGGATCTAACTTCCTGACGTCCCAGAGTGAGCTGGGCAGTGCTGGACTAGGCCTGGGCCCAGAGAGGAGTAGGGGGAGGCGGGCAGGTGCTGTGCTGGCTGGGAAACCTGCATTAGACATTGGCACCTACCTCTCCTGGGATGCAACTCCAGCATGGAGGCCAGACCGACAGACATGAACTAGTGAGCTCATGGGTGAATCACGGTAGGGTCTGGAATGGTGTAGTCCAGAGGGCAGGGGCGGGGCCAGGCCAGGTGAGGACAGGTGGGAGGAAACTAAAGGGGCCAAGGCTGGGGCCAGCGAGAAGAGTCTGGTGCAGGGGTGGACAGACACTGATGGGTGGGCTTGGGCAGGTGGATGGGCCTGGCCCTAGCACAGGCAGGGAGAGGTGGGGGAGATGCTGCACCGCAG